TCCATCACCTACCCTCTAAAGTGTCCATTACATGTGCCAAAATTATCTGTATCCCCTCCACCAATCAAAACACCTTATTTTGCTGAGGAGACAGGAAGAAGGTACTTCTCTGGAGCTGATTCTCATGTTGAAATTAATAGTCTCTCTTCATTCTCTCTGAGACTATTCCTTTTTTTTTTTTTCTTTTTCTTTTCTTTTTTTTTTTTTTTGAGGCCAAGTCTTGCTCTGTTGCCTAGGCTGGAGTGCAGTGGTACAATCTTGGCTCACTGCAACCTCTGCCTCCCAAGTTCCAGAAATTCTCCTGCCTCAGCCTCCTGAGTAGCTGGAACCACAGGCACATGCCACCATGCCCAGCTAAGTTTTTGTGTTTTTGGTAGAGATGGGATTTCACAATTTTGGCCAAGCTAGTCTTGAACACCTAACTTGAGAGGATCCACCAGCCTTGGCCTCCCAAAGTGTTGGGATTACAGGTGTGAGCCACCATGCCTGGCCTGACAATTCCCAGTTTTCAAGAGAAACAGTAACAAAGGCAATGGAAAAGGCCAAGCGATTATCTGGGGAAAGGAAAAAAATTGACCTGATGGTCACAGACCTGTTAAAGATTTTCTCCTCATCTGGGTGTGGTGGCTCACACCTGTAACCTGAGCACTTTGGGAGCCCGAGGTGGGTGGATCACAAGGTCAGGAGTTCAAGATCAGCCTGGCCAAGATGGTGAAACTCTGTCTCTACTAAAAATACAAAATTTAGCCTGGCATGAAGACAGGTGCCTGTAATTCCAGCTACTTGGGAGGCCAAGGCATGAGAATCATGTGAACCTGGGAGGTGGAGGCTACAGTGATCCAAGATTGCACCACTGCACTCCAGCCTGAGCGACAGAGTGAGACTCCATCTTACAAAAAAAAATATTGAGTGCTACTGTGTGCTGTGATGCTACCAAGATAGAAGACCAGCCTCACAGAATCAGATGGCCTGGCTTTGAGTTGTAGTTCTCCTCCCTGGCTGTGTGGGCTTGGGGAGTTTGTTAACCTCTCAGCGGCTCCATTTCTCCTCTGTAAGATGAGGATGGGAAGAGAGCTCACCACCCAAAACAGACGTGAGGGATGAATTACACCAGCACATCATGTTCAACATATGCTTGTGATTGCCCTCCATCCGTACCTGCTCTGCCGTCACCTCTTTTAACTGTCGCCATAAGCCAGCAGGTTCAGTAGGTTCTCACTTTCACAAAGAAACGAAGGCTCAGTGCTGGCAAGGGAAAGAGCTAAATCCAGGTCTGGCTCCAAACTCCCGCTCTTGGACCCTCATAGCTGCCTCTGGTCCATGCAGCTGTCCTAAGTCCAACACCCCCCATTCATTCCCATCTCAGAGTCAAGCGTGGTGCCATAACAAGTCACGGCCAATGGGGAGGCTTAAAACAAGAGGAAGGCCGGGCGCGGTGGCTCGTGCCTGTAATCCCAGCACTTTGGGAGGCCGAGATGGGTGGATCACCAGGTCAAGAGATCGAGACTATCCTGGCCAACATGGTGAAACCCCGTCTCTACTAAAAATCCAAAAATTAGCTGGATGTGGTGGTGGGCGCCTGTGATCCCAGCTACTCAGGAGGCTGAGGCAGGAGAATCACTTGAACCAGGGAGGCAAAGGTTGCAGTGAGCTGAGATCCTGCCACTGCACTCAAGCCTGGCCATAGAGAATGACTCCACTTCACAAAGAAACAAAGAGGAATCTAGTCTCTTGGAGTTCAGGAAGACAGAAGTCTGAAACCAAGGTGCTGGCAGAGCTGTGCGCTCTCTAAAGTCTCTAGGGATGGATCTTTTTTTTTTTTTTTTTTTTTTTGAGATGGAGTTTCGCTCTTGTTACCCAGGCTGGAGTGCAATGGCGCGATCTCGGCTCACCGTAACCTCCGCCTCCTGGGTTCAGGCAATTCTCCTGCCTCAGCCTCCTGAGTAGCTGGGATTACAGGCGTGCACCACCATGCCCAGCTAATTTTTTGTAGAGACAGGGTTTCACCATGTTGACCAGGATGGTCTGGATCTCTTGACCTCGTGATCCACCCACCTCGGCCTCCCAAAGTGCTGGGATTACAGGCGTGAGCCATCGCGACTGGCTGTGATGGATCTTTTCTTGGCTTTTGCAGCCCCTGGTGGCTTCTTGGTTTGTAGTATTAGGTTGGTGCAAAAGTTATTGCGGTTTTGCGACACAGTAATAGCATCACTCCAACCTCTGCCTCTGTTTTCACAGGGTCTTCCTCTGTGTGTCTCTTTCTGTCTCATTAGATTCAGAGCCCACCCTAATCCAATGTGAGCTCATCTGGATCCTTATCTGAATGACCCTGCAAAGACCTTATTTCCAAATAAGGTCATTCAGATGCTCTTTTTTTTTTGAGATGGAGTCTTGCTCTGTCGCCAGGCTGCTGGAGTGCAGTGGCACGATCTCTGCTCACTGCAACCTCCGCCTCCTGGGTTCAAGCGATTCTCCTGCCTCAGCCTCCTGAGTAGCTGGGACTACAGGCATACGCCACCACGCTTGGCTAATTTTTGTATTTTTTAGTAGAGATGGGGTTTCACCATATTGGCCAGGATAGTCTCAATCTCTTGACCTTGTGATCTGCCTGCCTTGGCCTCCCAAAGTGCTGAGATCACAGGCATGAGCTACAGCGCCCGGCCCTCACGCTGTGAAGTTGTAAGATGCACATGAACTTCTTACATTCAAGTTGTAAGGCCACAAACCCACAAGGATGAATGGCCACAGCCTTGCAAGCTTCCTGTCAATAATGTCACTCTCTCCAGGGGCTTTACACCCTGCACACGAAGCACAGCCTTGGCTGGAAGCAGCGGGAGCCCCGGGAGATGGCCAGGGAGTGAGGGAAGCAAGTGCGTGGGGCAGCTGGGGTCTGGCAAAAAACGGCTGGGTAGGGGCAGTGGCAGAAATCCTCATTTGTCACCAGTCATCAGCTACAAGACCTCGAATGAGTCCTTTTACTAGGTCTTTATATCACTTTCCTCCTGTGCACAATGAAGTTCAAGTTACCTGCTGGAGGCTTTCTGTGTATTCTCTTATTTAATCCCTATTTTACAGATGATGACTCTGAGGCTTAGAGAAGGAGAGTGACCCAGCATGTGCACACTGTCTCTCTTTTCTCCCTTTCTCCACGCCACTCCACAACCAGGTGACCTCAACCACGCAGTCCAGCATGAGGGCTGAATGCATCTGTGGCTGCGAAAGTGCGTGGTTAACCACCCCACGATGAGTATCCTTGTTTTTCTCATCACAGTTCAGATGGGCAACCTGATTTCCATGGGGCAGATGCTGAAAATGGCAACACACCCTGGGACGAGGCGTGGGACAAAGAATTAATCACACCCAGGAACTGGCATTACCTCCATCCCCGGAGGAGGGCAGAGGCGGTGGCTGCCAGGCTCCAGGTGCTTAGCTTGGATTTGGGGCAAAGAATGGAATGAAGACCTATGTTGAAAAGCCTTGCTCAAGGATGTTTTTCTTCCCCAAGAGAAAAGAACAAAGTCTAAACCTTGAATCAGATACAAATTGTTAGAATTCTTTCTTGCCATGAGGCTGTCTCTGCACCAGGCACTGTGCTGGGCTCATTGTAAACCTCATCTCTTTTTTTTTGAGACAGGATCTTGCTCTGTCTCCCAGCCTGGAGTGCAGTGGCCTGATATCGGCTCACTGTAGCCTCAGCCTCCCAGGCTTAAGCAGTCCTCTCACCTCAGCCTCCCGAGTAGCTGAAATTACAGGTTCGCTCCACCAGACCCAGTTAATTTTTTTGTATTATTGTAGAGAAATGGGTTTTGCTGTGTTGCCCAGGCTAGTCTCCAACTCCTGAGCTCAGGTGATCCGCCCGCCTCAGCCTCCCAAAGTGGTTACTGGAATGAATCTCGTCTCATTTAGTCTTCACAATCCCCTAAACTAGGGGTTGATACCCTAGGCCAGGGGACCAAATCCAGCCCAAAGCTTGACGTTGTAAGTGAAGTTGCTCTGGATCGCTGATCATGCCCATCCATTTACAGTCATAGTGGCTGCTTTTGCAGGGCAAAACTGAATACTTGCCACAGAGACTCCCTGGCCCTTGACGCCTCAAATATTTTCTACCTGGATCTATTGAAAAAGTTGGCCAACCCCTGCCCTGGGTGGGATACTGTAATTTCTCCAGTTGTTTGTTTTGAGAGAGAGAGTCTCGTTCTGTTGCCAAGCGCCAGGCTAGAGTGCAGTGGCGTGAGCTTGGCTCACTGCAACCTCTGCCTCTCAGGTTCAAGCAATGCTCCTGCCTCAGCCTCCCAAGTGGCTGGGACTACAGGCGTGTGCCACCACACCTAGCTAATTTTTTTTTTAAGTAGAAAAAGAAACTGTGGTTTCACCATGTTGGCCAGGATGGTCTTGATCTCTTGACCTCGTGATCCGCCCGCCTCAGCCTCCCAAAATGCTTGGATTACAGGCTTGAGCTACCGCACCCGGCCAGTTTCTCCAGTTTAAAGGTTATGAAAGCCAGGTTTACCCAATAATGATAATAACTAACATTTGCCAAGCATTTTTCACATGCCACGACCTGTGCGTTACCTTATCTGATTCTCAAAACAGCCCTGGGTGGTCAGTGCTATTATTCCATTTCACAGATGGGGAAGTCAAGGCTCAGGAAAGGGAGTGAGTGAGGGAGATTTAAAACAAGGTCTGTCCTACTCCAAAGCTCTTGTAATCAACCAAATTCCTGTAAGAACCACCTCTCTATGTAAGTACCATCATCATTATAACAAAGATTGTATTGCTTTAGACACAGAAGGAGGAGTTGTTGTCAGATGTTAGTTAGCGGGCATGGTGAATATCTAGGGAGGTTGGTTAAGAAACAATTCCCTGCCTCCACCTCCAGGGATTAGGATAAATCTGGGTTGAGGTATCCTGTCCAGGGACCTTCATAAAGGAGGTCTTCAGATCAAATTTTAAAATGCTGATACAGGACCTGAATAAATGAATATCTCACATGGTCGGTTTTTTTCCAGTCTGAACTTGTGTAATAGAAATTAGCCTGATAGGCTGTTCCTTTCTTGATCACATTTTTCAGCTAGAAGTCAGGCATCCAACAGCTGCCCAGGAATGTCTCCACAAGGAGGACAGATCATGGGAGGAGATGGGAGGAGCATTTCAAGATGACTAGCTAGAGACAGCGGCCGCCGCGAGTCTCTTGTGCATACTTCCAAGTAAGAGTTGCTCGCTCTGTGGAAAGAGCAGAGCATGAAGCCACAGATGTCCCCAGGACTCCAACTGCCATTGCTGTCACCAAGCTTCCAGGAGCTGAGTCACTTCTGGGGGCAGAGGCAGCTAAATCCATCTTCCCATCCCCAAATGCCACCCCAGGGAGGTGCGTACTTCCTGAGCGGTGGCACCAGCAAGCAAGCACTGAGTACCCGGGCAGCACACTGGGGTGTGCCAGAAGGTTTAATCACTGATCTCAAAACAAAAAGTAAGGCTACCCAGGGACAGGAGTGGTGGAAGTGATGGAGGACGAGGGCTGGTGATCTAGAAACTTCTAGTTTAAACATAAGCTTGGAGGGTTAAACTGCTGGGGAACCAGAGAGATACCTTCACTAGCCCATCTTTTCCAATCAGGGGTCATGGTAAGAATTTAAGCCCAGGATGCCTGGCACAACCCCTCTTTTCACTTCTGCTTCATAACTTTCTTTGCCTAGTACTGGCCCCAGAGTGCACTCATTTTGGGCATTTACCATGAGCCGTCATCTAGCTCATATCAATCACTTTCTGGATTAGTAAAACGAGGCTTAGAGAGGTCATAAATGAGTGGTCAAACTCACTGAATTGTTAAAGAAACACCATAGGTTCTGTCTAGATCCTGCTACTCGCTGCAGAGAAAGCCAATCACTGACACAATGAGTTTTGCCAGGGAAAAGGGCTTTAATTTGGTGCTGCAGCTGAGGAGATGGAAACTCGGCCTCAAATCTGTCTCCTCAACCCACTAAAATTAGAGGTAGCAAGGAAGAAATGTAACCACGTGTTACATTGTGATATATCCCTATTCTTTTTTTTTTTTTTTTTTCTGGGAAAAAGAGATTAGGAAGGGGTAAGGAAGAGAATCTGCTCAACAGGGTGCAGGTGCTCGGTCAGGCAACCGTGTAGGCTGAGGAGTCTGGTATTTCATTGTCTGCAGGTGGTGATCTCGTAAATTTCAATTCCTTCATACCATCAGGGCAGCCCGGAGATCAGTTTCCTGAGAAAAGAACTCAGGTAAGATAAATGTAACTTTCTCAACATTTAAAATTAAGAGGGTCAACTTTTATGTTTGTTCAAAAGGAACCATAAACATTTCCAAGGGAGCAGTTGGGCCAGTGGCACGATGAGTGACAGGGCTGAAACTCGAGCCCGGATCTGTCTGATCCCACTGCCCGTCCTCTAAGGTCAGAAGAGCTACAGAACAGTGTTTCCAAAACTCTCAACACTGTGTAGAACCCACCCCGACTACGTATTCTGTGCTCTATCATGTACTACTCCATGTGTCATGGCATTCACTTTTTTTACTGGAACTTTATAAAGGAAATGTCATATGACATCCACAGATAATCAGTGACTCTCGGCATAATTAGAAAATCGCCGTAAAAATAAACCTGATGAAAAAAAGCAACACCGTTAAATTCTGACTAAATACTGTCTAGCCTTCTTAAGGTTCAGGTAGAAGCTGGAATTTTCTTTCTTAACAAGGTGAATCAGCATTAAAGACAAAGCTAGCACCAAATTGTGGCTTTCTCCTTTTGGTAATCAGAAAGGTTGATAACTGGGGAAAAACAAGTAGCTTTCCTGAAGGGTAAAACAATTAATTGCTGTTTGATGCTACAAGAGTTAGAGTACCACTGGGGGTACCTATCCCATCCCCTGTTGTAGAATAGAATTCTAGTCCTTTGCATTGGAAAGGTTTTAAAGGTCTTTTTGGTCAGCCTCATACCCATGTTGGATAGGATGTAAAGTGACTTGGGAAAAAATGGTTCTGAGAGTCCCTCAATGAACAGTTCTCATTGAAAATTCAATGAGGGCCAGGCGCGATGGTTCATGCCTGTGATCCCAGCTCTTTGGGAGGCCGAGGTGGGCCGATCAGGAGGTCACAAGATGGAGACCATCCTGGCCAGCATGGGGAAACCTCATGTCTACTAAAAATACAAAAATTAGCTGGGCGTGGTGGTGTGGGCCTGTAGTCCCAGCTACTCAGGAGGCTGAGGCAGGAGAATCACTTGAACCAGGGAGGCGGAGGTCACAGTGGGCCAAGATTGCACCACCGCACTCCAGCATGGCGACAGAGCAAGACTCCGTCAAAAAAGAAAGGGCGGGGGGGATGAAAAGAAAATTCAATGAGGAACTCAAGCTGAAAGGACAATTCTCAGCCATGGGTTAAGTCCTACCCAAAGAGGAATCTTCCATTTTGAGCAATTATTTCAACCCAGCTCATATAACAAAGGCAATTAAATGAAGGGCTGGGGCTATTCATGTCATCATTGGAATATACTTGGGCCAGAGAGGTTGCATTTAGGCTTGATATGAGGGACTGGGGTAGGGGGAGTCAGTGTTGGGGGAGAACCAACTTTCACCTAATATGTCCCTTTCTCTTACTTGGGTTTTTAAATACTTTTTATTTTGGCATAATTTTAGATTTATAGAAAATTTGGCTGGATGCGGTGGCTCATGTCTGCACTCACAGTGGTTTGGGAGGCTTAGGGAAGAGGAGCACTTGAAGTCAAGAGTTTAAGACCAGCTTGGGCAACATAGCAAGACCCCATCTCTACAAAAATAAAATGTAAACATTAGCCGGGTGTGGTGGCACCTGACTGTGGTCCCAGCTACTTGGGAGGCTGAAGTGGCAGGATTGCTTGGGTCCAGGAGTTTGAGTCTTCAGTGAGCTATGATGGTGCCACTCCACTCCAGCCTGGGTGACAGACTAAGACACTATTTCTAAAAAAAAAAAAGAGAGAGATTTTAAGAAAAGTTGCAAAGAGCATACAGAATTCCCCTCTACTCCTCACTCAATTTCCGCTATTGTTAACATTACCAAGAAGCTGACATTGGTGCATTGTTATTAACTATATTGATTGAAATTTTACCAATTTACCAGTGGTCAGATGCTACCTTTTGAAAACATTTAAAATTAAAAAGGGAGAAAAGAAAAGATGTGTGCAGGCACCATGGGGAGCCAGGTCAGCCTTTGAAGAGAACAAGGGAGGGGCATGGTGCTGGGTGTGGGCTTTGGGGTTTGAGAGTCCAGTTTTCATGCTTGACTCATCCATCAGTGGCTCTGGGTGCCTCAGTTTCTTTATTTGTCACACTGGGGAACAATCATACCCATCTCACAGGTGACTGATGTAAGTGCCAAGCATATAGAAAGTTCTCTGTAATTACATTTGCTCTTACATCCACCAAATAACTATGCATTGAGAACCTGCTTTGTGGAAGACCTGGCTCTAAGCCATAGGGTGGGAGCAAGGAGCAAAACAGACAAAAACCTCTTCCTTTGTGGACCTGAGCTTCTAGCAAGAGGTTTACACCGCTGGGGAGAAAACTTGCTCTAAGAATCTGCAGGGGTCACTGGCTCAAGACAGACGTCGCTTCAAGTCCTGGCTCTACCGCTAAATGTGCGACCCGGGCAAATGACTTGATCTTCCCAAGACTCAGTTTCCTCTTCTGTGAAATGGGAAGAGTAACTCCTACCTCATGAAGTTGCTGCTGTAGGGATGGAAGGGGATAATACATTTGCCCCTCAGTATCCATGTGGGATAGGTTCCAGGCCTCCCTGTGGACACCAAAAGCCTTGGGTGTTCAAGTTCCCAACACAACGCAGTGTGATATTTGCATATAACCTTCGCACATCCTCCTGTAGACTTTCAGTCGTCTCTAGATTACTTATAATCCCTAATATGATGCCTACACATCCCTTCATTTACATAGATTCAGCGTAGTACTCAAAAGTTTTGCTTCTTGGAAATTTGCAGATTTTTTAATGAATATTTTCCATCCGCAATTGGTTGAATCTGCAAATGCGGAACAAACAGATACAGAAGACCAACTGTATACATCATGTGCTTGGTGGAGTACCTTGCCATCACAAAAAGTGGTCAGTATTATTCCCACCATCACGTTGCCTTTCTCTGCAAGAAGCCAGACTAACACTGGGGAGAAAGTAAAATCAGAGTCACCATCAGATTTGAAGAACAGACTCGTGGTCACGGAAGCCATCTCTGCACCCCTCTAGGTGAGACCAAGCCCTGCAGCTCCAACAGACACACGCCTGCCCTGACAGGAGACTCTAGAGGGGCCCCCACCAGCCTGTTGTCAAGGAGCCCGTTCGTTCCTGGTATTGGTCCAACAGGAAGTCTGGATTCCCAAGAGAATAGATCTGCACCCCTTGACCAGGGAACCAACATCTGAAGGCATTTCAAAGGCTCCTGGTGGCACTCCAGCCTTCGTTGTCATCAGTCATTCATGTAGGAATGCAGCTCATTCCAGCCCCCAAACATCCTATTATGGGATGCCCCAAGCACCTCGCCTTCTTTCTGTAAAGTGAATGTAATGGGAAGCCGCCCGTTGATTTTAATGAGTCACCATTTCCCAAAGAGATGAAGTCACTGCTTTTAACTCAGAAGTTCCTGGCTGCTCCTTTTCCCCTAGCCTGCCTTGTGGAGAAGATGGCACTGGATCCCTGAGAGCGATCATACCTTTCCTTGCACTCTGCCATCCCATACATCCCGTCTCTGTGACCCCACACGGAAGATTTTGCAGCTGAGGAAACTGACAGCCTTCATATCCTGGCTATGATTCTTACTCTCCAGTGGCACCTCAGGCACATTTTTTTAACTTCTCTGGATTTCTATTTTCCTAGCCACATCTGACATGTCAAAGGACACAAAAGTAATCAGGGAGGACACACCAACAGAGGATGAAGATGCAGGCGTCGGCCTTAAGCGGACGTGAGTTGACAGCCCAGCGCTGCATCTTTCTAATGGCCGACCTTGGCAAATGCCCTAATCTCTCTGAGCCTCGGTTTCCTATAAATTGGGGGTCATAAAAGAGAGAATATACAGACCAGCACAGTCCAACTGAAAAACACTAGCCACACATGTAATTTTGAACATTTCAGGAACCACATTCTAAAAAAAAAGCTGGGTGCGGAGGCACATGCCTATAATCCTAGCCCATTGGGAAGCTGAGGCAGGAGGATCACTTGAGGTCAGGAGTTCGAGACCAGCCTGGCCAATATGGCGAAACCCTGTCTCTCCTAAAAATACAAAAAGTAGCTGGTGTGGTGGCATGTGACTGTAATCCCAGCTACTTGGGAGGCTGAGGCTTGAGAATTGCTTGCACCTGAGAGGTAGAGATTGCAGTGAGCCACTGCACTCCAGCCTGGGCTACAGAGGGAGACTCAATCTCAACAACAACAGTAACAAAAATTAGCCGGGCATGGTGGCAGGTAGGTGCCTATAATCCCAGCTACTCAGGAGGCTGAGGCAAAAGAATTGCCTGAACCTGGGAGGCGGAGGTTGCAGTGAGGCAAGATCACACCACTGTGCTCCAACCCTGCGCGACAGAATGAGACTCCGTCTCAAAAATACAAAACTAAAACTAACAAGAGGTGGTTGCAGAGGCACATGCCTGTAGTCCCAGCTGCTCTGAAGGCTGAGGCAGGGGGATCATTTGAGTCCAACCTAGGCAACATAGCAACAGGACCCTGTGTCTTAAAAACAAAAACAAAGATAAAAAGAAATGGGAGAGATTAATTTCAGTAACATATTTTATTTAATCCAATAGATCTAAAGGATTATCAGTTCAAAATGTAATCAATATTTTAAATATATGAATCAGATGTTTTATATCCTTTTTGGAGGGAGTATGGGCGTCTCAAGTCCAGTATGTATTTTTTACCCTTTGAATAGATCTCAAAATAGGCCAGGCACGGTGGTTCACACCTGCAATCCCAGCACTTTGGAAGGCCGAGTCATCTGAGGTCAGGAGTTCGAGACCAGCCTGGACAGTATGGTTAAACCCCATCTCTACTAAAAATACAAAAATTAGCCAGGTCTGGTGGCACATGCCTGTAGTCCCAGCTACTCGGGAGGCTGAGGCAGGAGGATCACTTGAACCTGGGGGATGGAGGTTGCAGTGAGCCGAAATTGTGCCACTGCACTCCAGCTTAGGTGACAGAGTGAGACTCCGTCTCAAAACTAACTGAAGAATTGATTTCAATTTGGAATGGCCACATTTCAAATGCTTTCAAGTCCCAAGTCCCTGTTCACTATCCTGGGACACTCTGTTCCTCTCTTTCCTTCTCTTCTCCCTGATACCGTCCCCTTCCTCAAAGATTCTGTCTCCCTGAGGTTTTCTCCATTTCAGGACTCTTTTGCCTTCCCTTTTAACCACTCTCATTAGAGGGCTTCTGATGGACCCTCTCATCCCACTCCAGCCCCCAGCAGCCTATAGGTGGCCCTGCCTTTGGTCAGGGGCTCAGCAGGTTCAACCTGTGTGGAGCCCCAGGTCACATGGGACCCTCCCCTTCAGCAGGGACTGTGAGGAAACCCTTAGAAGAGGCATGTGGGGTGGAAGCCACACAGGTTATCTGTCCCCTCAATCCTGATAGGACTGGCTTGGCTGTGATCCTCAATCATGCAGAATGTATGCCTGACATCAGCTCTCTCAGGCAGTGTAGTCTGTTGGGAGCCAGGAAGGTGGGGGTAAGGACACAGGTGTCCCTGTGGAGGGGACTCCACCAGCAGCGTCTGAACGAAGGCACCAGAAAACCAGAGACTGAAGAAGTTGCAAACAGCATAAAGAATTCCCCTCTACTCCGCACTCCATTTCCACTATTTGTTAACGTTACCAAGAAACTGACATTGGTGCATTGCTATTAACTATATTGATTGAATATATTGATTGAGTGACAAGGGGCAGGTGGGATTTCCCTGTACTTTCATCCCTTTGTTTCCCCACTTCCTACCCCCCACTCCTTGTCTGGAGCTCGAAGGTCTTTGGTGAGCTGAAGGAGACAGCTTATTAAATAATAATGACATGGCATCTTCCTGAAAGAGGCGGTCAGGGTTGCAAAGAGAAAAACTCATCTTTCAGATTCTCTGAACAACCTGAATGATAAGCTGGAAGAAATGTCCAGAGCCTCAGAAATGGAACACTCTCCCTCCAGGAAAGAACTGGGAGGAAAGGGAGGCAGACAGAAGGTGTCCACGGATGCCCATCCCAGGAGGAGAAGCTGTGGTCCTTCCTCCTTCATGAACCACAAGGGTATGCAGAAGTGGTTGAGAGTAGGAGTTTCTTTCTACAAACAGGCTCTTCCTCTGCGACATCCTAGAAGTCCCAGATCTAAGAGGTCCTGGTACAAAGAAACTACAAAGGAGAGCATTTGATGCCCTTGACTTTTTTTTTTTTTTTTTTTTTGAGACATAGTTTTGTTCTATCACCCAGGCTGGAGTGCAGCGAAATGATCTCAGCTCACTGCAACCTCCACCTTCCAGGTTCAAGTGATTTTCCTGCCTTAGCCTCCCTAGTAGCTGGGATTACAGGTACCTGCCACTGTGCCCAGCTAATTTTTGTGTTTTTAGTAGAGATGGGGTCTCACCATATTGTCTGGGCTGGGCCCTTGACTTTTGCAATGAAATAGGAAATAAGGGTGCAGGTGAAGAGGTGAGATTGAGCAGTAGAAGAGAGACCAAGATAGCCCATCTAGGGAGGCATCCTGGGAGGACCCAAGACTTGAGACTATGAATTCCCTTCACAAGAAAGACAAACTCCAGGCGAAGCCTGCGGAAGTGTGATCTGAGAACTGCTGAAGACTCATTCTGAGAGCAGGAGCCAAGGCTAGAGCAAGAGCTTCATCTCGCCGCTGCTCCATAGCCCACGAGCGCTATGACATTTGGGGTTGGATGCTTCTTTGTGCTGGGGGCTGTGCTGAACACTGTAGGGCGTGCAGCAGCATCCCTGGGCTTTGCCCACTGGCTGCCAGTAGCATCCTCTCCCCAACCTGAAATGTCTTCAGACACTGGCAAGTATCCCCTGGGGGACAAAATCACCCTTTGTTGAGAACCACAGGATTTGACTCAGGGTCTTTATCCTTC